CCCAGGCTGGCATCAAACTCCTGGCCTCAAGCATTCCTCCCACCCCCACATCCTAAAGTGTTGGGATTACAGGTGTGAGCTACCGAGCCCAACCTTAGAACTTTTTCATTATCCCAACCTGAAACCCTGTCCCCATTTTCCCTTCCCCCCAGCCCCTGGCACCCACTGTTCTATCTCCTGTGACTGTGGTTTTGACTCGTCTGAGGTGCCTCACGTCAGTGGAGTAATGCAGTGTTTGTCCTTTTGTGTCTGGCTTTTTTCACTTAGTGTCCTAGAGATTGTCCCATGTTGTAGCCTGTGTCAGGACATTTGCAGCTGTCTTAGGAACACAGGTAACTTCACTTCCCATTTGAAGGGCGAGGAGTTCTCCAGAGGCCCTGAATAGGAATAGAGATTATGAGGCATTGGGGTTTGGAAGGAGTGTCTCTGAAATACAAGTGACTGTCAGATGAAGAGGGACAATTCAGTATTGTACCTGGGCCTGCCTTTCCAGAGATGCCCAGCCTCTTTGCCTAGTTCCTGCTCTGGGCTCCTGAGCAGGTGATCCACTGCTGCACATGGGTTTCCTGGGAAGGATCAGAGCCTGGGAAGTGCAGGAGCTGGGCGGTGCTACTTTGCGGATTGGAAGGACTGGGCTGCGGGGATCCCAGGGTCTTTAGCCGACCCCAGGGGTGCTCTGGGTCTGGGCTTGTCCTGACTCAAGTCAAGGGGCCCAGGCCTTTCTAAAGGTCCACATTGTCCATTCACAGGGCCCTGGCTTTGGGGGAGGGCAGCAATTGGAGATGGGGGGATGCCCTGAAAGGGGGTCTTGGGCACACCCTACAGTGTCCATGACACCACATTCTGTCCCGCCTGTTGTTGGCCCTTCTGGAAACAAGCACTGGAAAATACTGAGTGGAAAAGTTTTCTGATTTTTTTTCCTGCTTTGTTTGGGTTTTTGGAAAATGATTTCAAAATTAGCATATGGCTTGCTCAAATTAAATCACAAAGGAAGTAGTACCTATGGTACCATTTTGATCAGGCTCTAGGTCTGTGTGAACCATGGCCCATATTTGAAAATCCAGCTTCACTGGGACATAGCCATGCCCGTTGGTTTCTGTGCCCTCTGTGGCTGCTTTAGTGTGCCACCAGGGCAGACTTGGGTGGGTTGCAGCCGAGATGGCATGCCTCTCAGGGTCCAAGATGTTTGCTCTCTTGCGGCCCTCCGTCATCTCTGGCCTTTGTGGTTGCCACAGTTTTCTTGGATCCAAGAGTTCAAGGCAGTCCTGAGGGGGGATGGCCTCATCTCTGCAGTTGCCTAAAATGTTGCATTTCAGCCATGCTAAAGGAGGGGTCGCAGACATTGTGTGGAATGCATTCACACCCCAGGCGTGGGTTCAGGAAGGCAGCATGGACACCTGCCAGGGGCCTGCCACGCCAGGCATGGCACAGCCACATGGAGACTGGTTTCCAAGCCCAAGCAGCCTTCAGCAGCTATGTGGCTTGTTTCTGATGTCATTTGAGAGTAAGAATAACATAGACATGGGGGGCATGAGGCTCAGGGTAAAAACTTTAAGGAAACCTTTAAGGCAACATAAGGAGACCCTGTTTCTATAAAACATAAAAAAAAAGTAACCAAGTGTGGTGGCAAACACCTGTGGTCCCAGCTATCCAGGAGGCTGAGGCAGGAGCCCGGGAGTTTAAGGCAGCAGTGAGCCGTGATTGCACCATGGCACTCCAGCCTGGGCCACACAGCAAGACCCTGTCTCAAAGAAAGAGAGAGAGAAAGAAAGGAAGAAACCTCCATGGCAGATGCATAGAGGAGTGGGTTAATATCTAGAAATACCGTGAGTCATGGAGTAAAGAAAACCCACAAAAGAGCAGAATACCTCATGAATGTGGGGAAAGCATTTCTGAGCTCCTGTAGTTTTAGAAGTCTTTCAAAGGCGATTTAAAATAAAAATTAACAGGGGAGCCCTTTTGTTGTTGATGCCTTCCAGGACGTGCATTTATAAGCCAGGTGGTATTTTAATGTCATGAGGGGGTCCATTCTCCCATCTGTCTCCTGTGCTTTTGTTAGAGTCAGTAGCTTCTGGGTCTGCTTGACATTGGGAAGATACTGAATGCAGAAAATTCTGTTTAATTATAATGATTTGGTTTTTTTCCTTCTGTATTCAAGTTTGCCTGCTTCTAATGAATTGGCAGAAATGAAGAGCTTTCTCAAATTTTGCCAGGACCATTTGAAAGCAATTAAAATCAATTTAGTGATTAAATTCAAAATTATTGTCTGGCCAAATGATAGTTTAAAATTCAATTTATGTTGGCACTTACTTTTTAATGAACAGATCACATCACACATTTTTATGTTATCAAAGTATCTGTGGCTTTAAAGCTGGAAAAAAAGGTGCTCTTTTTAAAAAGTACTGCTTTTCCTTTTTCCTCTTTACTTCCTCTAAAATATTTACATGTTTCTTTTAAAATAAGGTCAGAAAATCCCCTTGACTTCTCAATTTTAAGAAACTATACTTATCTTTTCATCACAAATGGTCATGTATCTGGGTTGAAGGCAACCCAAGACATCTTAAAATATAACAGAAAGAAAATGTTTCTGGATTTTTTTTCCCTAGAATACATGCACTTTTAAATGGCCCATTTTACCCATTGACCTTAATTCCTCCCCACCTCCATTACGTTTTTAGATGTGTTCAATGAAACCGTAGTCCTCCCCTTTAAAAAAATGGACCGAGCATCACGTGTGAGGCTGCAAAGAGGCTCACTGCCAAAGCATCTTATCTGCTGCGTGTAAAGCCCCGCCCCTCTGTCAGCAGATAACCCGTGAGCCTGATGTGTGCTTGTGCCGGGTGCATTGCATTAAGAGAATGCAACTGAATAGAGAAGGATCAGGACCTTTTGTGCAGAGGTGGGGAGTGTTAAAAACGGGAGGCCTTCGTGGTGGGGGTGGGGTGGAGTTAGTGGGAGATGATTGTGCTTAGTGCTTAAATTCCCTGCATTCCCTAAGAGACTCACACAGTAAATGAGTCGGGAGAGAGAGAGAGAGACAGAGAGAGAGAGGCAGGGGAGAGGGAGAGTTCCTTTCATTCATGACATGATGAACTTTGCATGTTTCAGAACAATTTACATTTTTCCTTATTTCTAGGTACTCTTTTGAACTCCTAAGAACCTGGAGGGTGTGTGTGTGTGTGTGTGTGTGTGTGTGTGTGTGTGTGTGTTGGTGGTGGTGGGTTTTTTTTTTGCCTTATATTTCATAAATATTTCTTGGTTGATTAAATGTCAGTAATCTCTCATTTCTGGTTTGTAAAGCTGTTACCTGATCCTTGAATACCACGAATATTTTGTATATTCAAAATAACTGAGAGAAAATAAAGAATAACAACAAAAAAGGCACAAATAATAAGCATCTCTACTTATTAAAGAAGAGTGGATTCTGTGCTGGGTGCAGTGGCTCACGTCTACAACACCAGCAATTTGGGAGGCCAAGGCGGGACGATCCCTTGAGTCCAGGAGTTGGAGACCAGCCTGGGCAACGTAATGAGAGCCTCTTTTTTTTTTTTCTTTTTGAAACAGGGTCTCACTCTGTTGCCCAGACTGGAGTGTAGTGGTGCCATCTCAACTCACTGCAACCTCTGTCTCTTGGGTTCAAGCGATTCTCCTGCCTCAACCTCTCTAGTAGCTGGGGTTATAGGCATACACCACTACTACCTGGCTAATTTTTGTATTTTTAGTAGAGACGGGGTTTCACCACATTGGCCAGGCTGGTCTCGAACTCCTGACCTTAAATGATCCACCCACTTCAGCCTCCCAAAATGTTTGGATTACAGGCATGAGCCACCACGCCCGGGCTCCAGAGCCTGTCTTTTAAAATCAGTGCTGTCTGTGGGGTGGGAGGGGAGAAGAAGTAGATCTGGCCATGCAGAAAGGTTCGTGTGGCGGCCTCCTGAGCTGCACACATGCTCCCAGAGCTTTGTGTGGACATTCACTGTGCATGTGGATCTCTGTCCAAGCCTGCACTGGGAGTCCTTGCCCCAGGAAGCGAAGGCTATATTTCTTTTATGTCAGTTAACGGATTTCTGCCCCACCCTGGACATCTGAGCGTTAATTGATTTGTAAGGAAGGGGTGAGGGAGGGTAAAATTACAATTCTATATCTTAATATTGGGGGTGAAGAATTATACCCTAGAGAAATTCTGTCCACACACGTGAAACATTTTTAATAAGGGACAAAAGGTTGGGGTTCAGCAGTTAGGGGGCAAGCCCATGAGCCTCTTTCCTCCTGCTCTCTCTCCAGGAATTGGAGATGGAATCCTTTTGCTCAGCATTCCCACGCCTCCCACGGGCTTGGCACTGAGCCTGCGGGCTTGCCTTAGTCTCCTGGGCTGCCCTAACACAGCACCATGGGCCAGGCAGCTTAAACAGCATCCGGCAGTTCTCCCACAGTCCTGGATGTTCGAAGTCCCAGATGGCAGGGCTGGTTCCTCCTGAGGCCTCTTCTGAGCTTGTAGACACCATCTTCTTACTGGGTCCTCAGGAGCTCGTCCCTCCACGTGTCTCTGTGCCCTCATCTTCTGTTCTTATAAGGGCACTAGTCCTGTTGCATCAGGCCCATTCTAATGACCTCGTTTTACCTTTGTCACCTCTTTAAAGGCCCTAACTCCAAATGAATGGTCACATTCTGAGGTCCTGGGGCTTAGGGCTTCAGCATACGAGTTGGGAGTGGGGATGTAACATGCCAGATGTCTAGCATAGGAAAACCTATAGAGGCAGAAAGTGGGCTCCTGCTTGCCAGGGCTAGGGACAGGCAGTGTGGGGTGACTGCTCACCGGCACAGGGTTTCTTCTGGAAGTCATGAAAGTGTTCTGGAATTAGACAGTGGTTGCACAACTCGGAATATATTAAAAACCACTGAATTGTACATTTTGAAAGAGTGAATTTAATGGTATGTGAATTATATCTCAATAAAACTATAAACAAGGACTGTGAGGGTAATAGGTAAAAGGAGGAAGGGCACTGAAAGCAGCATCAGGTGTGAACAGACCATAATTCAGCCCATAAAGCAGCACAAACTCTTAGCACAACTGTGTGTTGAAGATGTGAGTGAATGCTTGCTTTCTGCACCCTTCAGCCTGGTTTCCTCCACTTTCCAATTTCATCATCAAAAGTTCTCTTCCTTCCTCCCCCTCCCCACTTTTTCAAAATGTTTCTTCTAGTCCTTACCTTTGTCTACACAAAACTCCATAAACATAATGCCACAGTTGAAAGAAGTGTTCTGATGTTAGGGAGATCACGTAGGAAAACATTTTACCTTTGGGGAAGGTTTCCTTCTGAGTGAAAACTCGCCTTGAAAGAGACACTTAAATGCAGTTTTCAGATGCTCCTGAGACATTCCTGGCTGTTTCTTTGGGGAGAGGTGAAGGTAGGACAGTTTCCAAGGCAAAGATGGACCTATCGCAGACAGCAGACCCCAAGTAAAGAAAGGCACAGTGTTGGTGGGGATTTATGCAGTGTTTTGAAAATGTGGAGGTCAGGGATGCTAGCTTATCAGGCCAGCATGATCGAATTCCTTCAAAGGGGAAGCAACTGGTGGACTTCCTTGGGCTGTGGTTAAATTGGGCTCATGTTGGTGCCATGAAGTCTTTGCAGAGCCAGGGATGCTGGCATCCTGGAGAGACCTTGCTCCAGGAGCTCAGGAGCTGGTAGGGATGGTGACAGTAAAGCACTGGTTTGCTGTGCCCAGTGCCTGGGCAGTGCTGAGCTCGGAGGGAGGAACCCAGAACCATGCCGGAGCAAGGGAGGGAGGCAGGTGAGGAGAAGGGTTGCCCAGGAGCCTGCAGGCCGGGTAGGCGTTTTATCAAATTCTTTTCCTGTTTTGCTATCTGATCCCACTAAAGACTAGCCAGAGAGATGTGGAGGTGAAAAATGGTGGACAGCCATTTTTCTCCCTTTCACCATGACTACAATGTCTGTTTCACATCATCAGCAACATCTGTGCAGGCATCCTAATGAGAATAAATAAGGTCTTCAGAAAACTGGGTTTATGAGGCTCCTGTCATCTTAATTTCTTTCATCATTTAAGTGATGATTTTTCACTTACTGACATACAGTTGTTATTTAGTGGCTACGTATTATTCCTATAGTGTTCTTTATGTGCTTTCTGTGTACAAACATTTGTTTTCATGTTCCTGGTATTTCAGTGTGGCTTGCATATAATAAGATGTACTTGTTCTTGGCTATTGTGGACTCTTTTTTAAAAAAACGCTTATACAGATGTGATTTACATGCCAAATACCCTTTGAGGTGTCTTAATTCAACAGTTTTTAATACTCAAAAAGAATACAGTGTTGAGTGTTTTTCTCCTTTTTCACTAAAGTGGACTCAGGATTGGGGGTAACTGTCAGTCCCTTGGTTTTGATTCTTGGCTGCCAGTGTTTACTGGGGACGGATGTTGGTACCTCCCTTAATAGAATATTGTCAGAGCATTTAAAAAATTCTAGTTAAAAAAAATCCCACATGAGATCTCCCCTCTTTACCCCTCTCTAAGTGTATGGCCTTGTCCAGCATTTCCAGGACTCTTTTCATTTGCAGGATGGAAACAATGTACCCTCTGAACAACTCCTCCTGATTCCTCCTCCCTCCAGCTCCCTGCAACCACTGTTCCACTCCCTGCTTCTTTGAATTTCACAACTTGAGGTAGCTTGTATAAGTGGAATTATTTTAAAAGCTGGTTCACGTTAAAGTACTTAGAACAGAGCTTGGTGAGCATCCGGTCAACCGTAAGTACTTTTCTTATTCTTTTTATATTATTCCTTTTTTAAGAGGCCAGACACATGGGCTTCTATCTTTTCACGGCTGGGGATCTGTGCAGAGTCAGGCTTCCAGAAGCCATCCCACTTGAATTCTTACCCTTTTTTCCCCTAAAAAGAAGCTCTGAAACTCTAATTGTCAAGAAGGCTTTGCCTGCTGTGCACGCCTGAGTGATGTTATTTTTGTCATTATTTGAGAGACGGGGAGGAAGCTTCTAGTCCCCTGTAAGGAAACGAAATCATCCTGCACAGATGTGGTTCTGTTTATAGAGGGAAGGAAATGGAGGTGAAGAGTGTGTGTGGCTTGCAGCCAGGCTTGCGAATGTGCAGAGGAATAAACGTTTTTGCCTCCAGAATTGTAACTGGAAATGCATCTGAATTCTACCTTCTGGGCACACTGACCTGAGGTCTCCCCTGCATATCTGACTGTGAAAATCTTCGGGTGCATTTGTAAACGTGCAGCCCCCTTTATGTGGGAGTCAGCACAAACTCCTAAAGAGGTGGTGATGAATTCCGTTAGAGAAGTCTTTCTGGTTTTGTGAAAATAACCTTGCACTCTTTAATTATATCCAAGCGATCGAATCTGGCTTTGATTTCTTGCCAAAATTAATGTTAAAGGACAGTGCCCTTTATATTTTACTTGTCTAAATAGAAACATCCTAGTCTTTCAAGTTGAGTATGTAGGACTACCTCTCCACTTGATTACTCGGAAAAGAGTGTAGAGAGTCTTATAAATGAAATTAGTGGGCATACGAGGGTCAGAGTGACATTTAACAAACCTGCAATAGATAGTGCTGGTTTGAGGGTTGGTGAAACTAGAGGTGCGGAATGAGCATTTTTGGTCCTATACCATATTCCCAAGGCATTTTCGAATGATTCACCCTTCACTGTCAGAATGGTTTGAAATTGATCAGCCTGAATCCACTAATGTGGACTGTGGCACATTAATTTTAATACTAGAAACACACGGTATGCTGTGTTTCAAATGAACTCTGGCCATTTGAAGTGAGCAGGCACAGGCAGTCTTCTGTGATAACCTCAGTACATATCCTTTCTGTTTTTTAAAGTACTTTACAAGCTACTGCATTACAGTAGTTATGGGGCAATTTCAAAAAGCTATCCAATTTTAAGTGTCATGGATAATTCTTGCTTGTCCCAGCATCAGAATTGAGCACTTTTTTTTTTTTTTTTTTTGAGGCAGTGTCTTGCTCTGTAGCCAGGCTGGAGTGCAGTGGCACAATCTTGGCTCACTGCAACCTCCGCCTCCCAGGTTCAAGAGATTCTCCTGCCTCAGCCTCCCAAGTACCTGGGACTAGAGGCATGCGCCACCACGCCCAGCTAATTTTTGTATTTTTAGCAGAGACAGGGTTTTGCCATGTTGGGCAGGATGGTCTCATTCTTTTGACCTTGCGATTCACCTGCCTCAGCCTCCCAAAGTTCTGGGGATTACAGGCAGGAGCCACCGTGCCTGGCCAAAATTGAGCACTTTTATCATGTAGTATTCATGTCTTATTGGCAATGCCCTGTAAAGTTAAATAAGTTACATTTGTTGTGCACAGGTAATAATTATGAGGTAATTTCTGCAGAATCCAAGTGCCTCCTTGATTTAGCTATAAAATCAAAACAGCTAATTCTGATAAGACTAGACACATGTTACTCTTAAAATGGACTACCTCCCATCACTGTTGTGCCTTTTACCTCAGCAGAAGGGGAACTGGGCTGTGGAGTGAAATTACCTGAGGTCAAATGCTGCTAATTTGACTTTGATCACAGAGACATTTTCTTCTGTTGCACCAAGGCAGTGGCTTTAATCCCTCTTCCAGTGGTGAGACAAGAAACTGAAATGCCAAGCGTTTACAAAAGGCTTTCTCTTATTTTCAACGTACTGAGAAAGATTTCAAGGCACTTACGTTACCAACCCTTCATTTTAAGTCTTAAAGCAATTACTGTAAGGTCAATCCACTAATTTCCTTTCAGAGTTACCAAACACCTCTCGTGTAATGATTTGGTACTTGTTGCTATGTAGCCAATACTACTGAGCGCTTACTTTGAGCAAAGCACAGTATGAGGGGTCTAAAGGGATCTTGATTTTTACCTTTGAGGCATCTGTGGTCTTGAGTGATTTACATGCGTTAGAGATAAAAAGGTCCTGATATTCTTGTTTGGGCGTATTGAAGCATTTGCTTTTACATGTAGGTTTCCTCTCTCTATCCCTGCAATTTTTTTATTGTGGTAAAATATGTATAACAGATTTGCCATCATAACCATTTCTAAGTACACTATTCAATGGCATTAAATAAACACAAACTCCCTATTCTCCCCTTCCCCCAGCCCCAGCAACCACCACTCTGCTTTCTGTCTCTATGATTTTGACGCTCTAGGGACTTCCTATATGTGGGATCATATGATATTTGTCCTTTTGTGTCTGGCTGAGCACAAAATCCTCAAGTTTCATCCATGTTGTAGCATGTGTCAGAATTTCCTTCCTTTTTAAGGCTGTATAATATTCCAGTGTATGGATGGACTACACTCTATTTATTATCTGTCAAAGGGCTTTCACCTTTTGGCTGTTGTGGATAATGCTGCTATGAGCATTGGCATATGTTCTGTTCTAATTGTTTTAAGTTGACATAGCCATGTGTGGCTAGTGGTTGCTGTATTGGAAAGGACAACCCTAAGCCTGATAGCCCTGAGGACCTAGTTTGGGTGGGAAGGCAGAGGTGGGCTGCGGCAAGTGGTGAGAGCCAGATCTGGGTTGTGAGGCCACTTGAGGGAGGGGGAATGGCATGGCGGGAAGTGAGGCCCAAAATGAGAATTTTAGAGTTGAAAGCTTTGGAAGGGATGTGATTCTCTATGACTATGACTAACCTCAACGTGCATCTGAGATCAGGTCATTGGTGTTGATGACCTGGTGGGGACGGCAACTCCAGTGAGCATCGTGAAATGCTTAGTGCTTGGAACATTTGCACTGTGGTTGATGTCTGGAGGTTCCATTCATGTTAAAATAGCAATTATGGGACTGCAGATTAGGTTTAATATCGGGGTTTTTTCCCGTCTTCAGAGGCCCAGGTCTTGGTAGTAGCCATGCTGCTCTCCATTTTAATAATTTCAGCCTGGTTTATGTTGCTCAATAGCAGAAAAGCAGTTCAGTTTTCTGTTGCATATCATTGTTGAGAGCTATCAAATAGTTAACACAGATTTCTCCAAGGGCACCAACTGTGAAATTAGTTTACCAAAGAGCAGTTTGGTAAAAGGAAAGATTTTATGTGCACTGGCCTTAAACTAAGATACATCTGTTAGACTATCAGGACGTGCCCAGCCTCCCATCCTCTGCTGAAACTTTAGGTTATATGTCCTTCAGATATCTTCTCTTTGGTTCTTTGTTTGTGAACAGATTAGCCTCATACTTCCTCGCTTGTAAAACTGCTATCCTATCTCTTGCTCAATGCTTTTCTTGTACAGAAGGGTGAGGGGGAGGTCCCAGCTCTGTTTTCTATATCAGTTTCCTGGGTGATGTTTGTTTGAGGGTGCCTCGTGTCCAGAGCCCAGAGGGTGTTTCTGTTCTCTGATGAACCTGAAGTCTGCATGCTTCGCCTTTGGTAGGGAAAGGCAGCTGGGGAAAGGTTGCATGGCCCAGTGCCAGAGTACCAGAGTGCATGTGCACTTGCTGGGGAGAAGCCCGCTGGGGCCCCTCCTCTAGGCACAAGATAAGGTCTCAGGGTAGTGCAGCAGATGGAGGGCTTAGCTGTCCTCACCAGCAAAAGCTGCTGGGAACGCAGTGCTTAGATAACAGGAGGGTTGAGAAGTGGCAGGTTAGGGTTACAGTGATGGGAGATGCTGAGAGGAGGGGATGACAATCTTGATTTCTGTTCCCTCTATGAATCTTTTGGTGGCCACAGTGAGGAAAAGGTTACACTGTATTTGGGGATGACAAGGAACATCTAGGCACATTGCATACTTGATTAAATGCACAGAGCTTCTTGTGCCTTTTATCACAATAGTATGGTTCCATGAAGGTCATAGGTACAATAGAAATTGTCGTGGTCTGAAAGGGACTCAGATTAGGGTGCATTGTATCACTACCATTTTGCATAGCTATGGTACCTTGTCAAGTTAACCTTTTTGTGCTTGGTTTCCTAATCAAAAGAATGAAGTTGACAATATCTACTCTATAAGGTGGTTGTGTGAGGTCAATGAGATTACATAGGCAAATTCTTGGTGCAGGGGCACTTGGTAAAGGTTAGTTTCTGTTCTAAATTCGGGGTATTCTGTGATGGTTCCTACTCCCCTCTTCTCCTCATGGCTAAGTTCTGCTTATTCTTTGATGTGGCTCAGATAGGACCTTCCTCAGGAAGCCCCGTCTCCCATCCAGGTGGCTTTGTGCTGCTCATCAGTGTTCTGTAAAATGCTGAGAATATTTTTAAAGCACTTCTGTGTTGTTATGTGACAGTCTTTCGAGGTATCTGTCTCCTCACCAAACTGTTCTTTGTGTCATGGGCAGGCCCACGTCATCCTTGTCTTTGTAGTCCTGCACCTGGCACAGAGCCTGGTACATAGCTCAGTCACACAGGTGAAGACTGGGTTACTGCATCTTCCCACTCCACCCCCTTCACTATCAAGTCATAGGCGGGGCATGCCCCACCAAATGCAAACCCTCCCAGACGGCAGGGCTGAGAATTGAAACTAGGCTAACATGGTGACTCAGGAATGTGCCACAGGACATATTTGGCTCTAGATAGTGTCTTAAAAGACATTCATAGTTGCAGGCAGAACAGAGTATCCAGAATAGGTGCAGAATAACCTGCCTGTACACAGCAGGTGGTAGTTATAATGCGGGAAAAATTTGGCACAAGAAGTGTTATAGTTTAAGATGAAGTCATGGGCCCTATCCACACTGTGGACAGAGATAATAGTAACTGATCATCATCACTAGACCATTGTCAGAGGTAGCACTGGACACTTCTGTACTA